TCCAAATTCATCTGGAAGCATTTCTTTCTAATGTTTCTAGAATCCCAAAAGGGAGCTTAATCCCTTCAGCATCCTCTTTGTGCAAAGCATACCTGGGGTGCCGGATGGCTAAGTAACCTCTCATGCACTGAGAGTCATTAGCATTTCAATTAGTGACATGAGGATAGGAGGCGATTATCCCATTTAACAGCTGTTGAGTGCTGTTAAAGGAACACCTTCAACAAGAATGACCAAAAATGTAGTGGATTTTTCTCTTTTAGTAGGGGCTTCCCTGCCTCATATGAATATTGACATCCTCTCATGCTTGAAAAGTGGTCCAGTTTCCACAGGGACATCTTATGATCTTTAAATCTCTTTTCTTTAGAGAGTTGGAAACCTCAATACACCCACAGCATGCCAGCAGATGAGAGTGAGAAAGTGGAACTGTCCCCAAACAGAAAGGGAAGTGGTTCCAGGTATTTGGGAGCCAGGCTAAGCCAAGCGTAAAGAGAACAGTCATAAGAAAGCTGCAAAAAGAAGCAAAAAGTTGAAGCATCTCCTCTGCTCTGGAGTGCTTCAGCCATAAGATGAACAAAAAATCTCTTAGGATTTGGCTAAAGCCAGAGAAGTGCATTTTGAAAGTGTAGGATCTACTCAACATATTGTGTAAGGAAACCTTTTTTTGTGCAGGACATTTTTTCAATAGAAAACAAAAGCGAGCAGGAATTATTACAGTTATTAGTGTAGTTAATGCTTCAATACAGATAAATTTCTCTCCTGGTCCATGACTCCATTTCTCTTGACAGTGTGTTAAGCAAAAAAACAAAGTTCCAGTTCTTGTCATCAAAAGGAAACATTGTCTGGACTCCTGCATCTCAAACATGACTCATTTTAAGGCTTTACCTTTTAGAGTAAGCTGAACAAGCTGAGGATGCTGCACTTTCACAAGAATTCATCTATGTCAGCTCCCACCAAGATGCTGGTGACTGGCCTCCTAGCCTTTCAGAAGGTCTGACCCCTCATTCAGGTGTGTTGCTGATGCCTGATCCCCTTTCTGAAAGCTGGCTCAGACTGAGTACAGTGAGATGTTTCTGGAAAGTTGGCTTCCTTGTCCCCCCAGAGAGCACCACCTCACAGAAGACAGAAATAAACTCCCATGGTTTTTGTCTTCAGTGGAGAGTGAAGAGGCACAGTGCTGTGGGAAAAATGAAGTGGCTTTTTTGTCTCCCTCTGATTTGAAGTTGGTGGCAAGAGGTGTGCCTTGGGTTGGGTTAACATTTCAAGGTGAGAAAATCAGTTTAAGATGGTGAGGTTGTCCCTGGGGCAGAAGTGATGAGAATGGGCAAACAGAAATAGTTCTCCAGCCTCTTCTGTGAAACTGGAGGTTTTGCTTCCTCTAGGATTGAAGGGGATAAATCTTTTCTAACAAGTCAGAGGAGTCTATGAAAAGTCAAGACTTTTCCACTTCTCAATTTCTTTCAATACATTTTTTCCTCTCTCTCTATAATCTCTTCTTTCTCTTGCAATAAACTTCCATTCAGGTGGGTCCAGGGGCAATATCTAAGCAAAGGTGAGGATACAGAAACATTTGTAATGTTAAATAACATTCTTCCTGTTATTTCCTCCTTCATTGTTTTTACCCTCTGTGATGACCACTTACAACCTAATTAACATAGGCATTATTTCCATACAAAGTAGTGATAGCAACAAAGATGAACACACCTCTTTTTAAGCTTACTTGTTTCTAAGAAGACCTTTTTTAAATCATCCTTACCACTTATCTGACCAATAAATCTGAAAATACATGCAATGGTATTTACTGTGTTGTTACATGTATCTCGAAGCAGATGGTGAGCCAGTACCAAAGCTCACATTTTTACACCTTTATGCAGCATCTGGGGAGCTGAATTAAATTCCTGCCCATCCTGGGGCTTCACACAGACCTCTGCCTCTGTGGCAAGTGCCTCACAACTGCTGCCAATCCCAACCACATTGTTTTAGGGTATTTTTCTTCATATAGAATGAATAGAAGAATACTGACAACACTTCCTCAACCTCCCTGTCACCCCTGCGCACAAGTAATATTTCCAAAGAGCCATGCCAAGGTTTTGAGCCATCGTTGTGTGCATTGCTGGTGTCTCAGTCACTTGGGTGCCCTCATGCTTTTGTCATACTAGGTGGCCCAGTTCAGCTGATATTGCAGCATCCCTGGGCACTGTGTGTGGGCTGTACAGTGAGGCAGATGCAGGGAGCTGGGGATGCTGCAGGATGGAGCCCAGGGCAGAGGGCTGAGCCCTCTTTGCTCACTGACGTGGAAAAAGGAGTGGGAAGCGCATCTCACTGTTCTAGGACAGAAGCTGAGCCTGTAGCAAGACTCCTTGTGACATTAAACCATCTGAAGGGCCGTTGTTAATCACCATAAGGAGATCAAGCAGGTCTGTCCTGTAACCAAGGCTAGCAGCAGGCTGTGTGAGACTCGGGTGACCCTGAGGCACCAGGAGCTGCTTTGACTCATTCCCATGCAGAGCAGGAAGGAAAGGGCAATGGCAAAAGGGTCTGAACTGCACCTGTTTGAGAGACACGGAAGCCCATTTGCCATGGCCACCCAGTCAGTACCTAACTCTGTGGGCATCCTTGCTGTGCCATAGCCACTGGCAGGGTGAGGGTCCATGCCAGCCCATAAACTGTTTCACCAGCTCTTGCAGTTTGTCCTGAGGCTCACTCATTGCTCCTGGACGAGTGCTTGCTGGCCCTATAAGCATCCCCTCTTCAAAGCCTGTGGGGTTAAATGTGGGAGATGGGTGTTGCCAGCAAAAGTGAAACCCACCTGTGGAGTTTCCTTGGGAAAATCCTCCCTGCTGAGGAGTTCAGCAATGAAGCAGCACTGAAACCTACTCATATTTCTTTGGGTAACATCCAGGCCTGGGGAAAATCTCCCAGGAGATCACCCTCAAACACACACACACATACACACACATACACACACACACAGACACACACCCCTCATCCCAAAGCTCTGCCCTTCCACTTGCCACCCAAGCGCAGAGGATTATTAGGCATAAAGGGTTCTTTCACTGAAATCTGACCTGCATGGGGCGGATATCTTCTTCTGGATTCATTACCATAGCTCCCATTTTTTAGAGACAAGTAGATGTACGATGTGTCTGACATCTGTTTTGGGATGAGATGGATTGCATCTTCAATACATTTGTTTCTCAAGTGGATCTGACATCCTTGTATAGCCAGTGAATTCCTTCACCTCACACAGCCACCTTTGTCATCTCTGTAGCCTTCATTGCCACTCCTCTCTTGCAGCACCCACAGTTTTCATCATCTTTCCTTTCCTTTTTATCACTTTGTTTTCAGAGGCCTCAGCTAGGAGTCATTCCTTTCCATTCATGTGGTCCTTCTTTCTCCTGCACAGTGCCTCATCCTGTACCTCTCCCCTCTCCCCTCCTTGGAACCTGTGTTTCTCCATGATGCTGTGTCTTCTGCTTATTTTCTCTGGCATAATGTATCACAATTCCCAATCTTCTCTTGCAGTCTCTCATCCCCATATCCTCTCTTTATCCCTCTCTCTTCCCCTGGGCAATGGCTTGCTGCCTCTTTGTTGAACTGGATTCTTTGGGAAACACCTGTGTTAGCTCCCCCAAGCTCTGCCTGTACAGCAGGCTCCAGCACAGCATTCCATTACCTTGCTTACCTCTCAGCCAACCAGCAACTAAGCACTGAAGGACAGATCTTCATGGGCAGAAGAAGGAGCTTTATATTGGAAAGATACTTAGCATTTTATAAGGGAAAACAGGCCTAGGGATGCGCCTGGGATTCACTGAGCTTCCTTCTCTCTATGTTCCCCACTGCAGCCAAGCCCAAGCACTAGAGTACCCATTGCATGTCCCAGTGTCCTTGACCAAACACAGGACTCCTCAGGGCCCTTTTTCCAGTGGCTGCTGAATGCAGGGATCCCTTTATAACTTTATATCCACCACACAGGAATAGAATTCAGGGTAGTTAAGCTGAAACCCTGCTCTGAAACCCTGGAGTGTGATGCATAGCAGTGAGCTCAGCTGGGGAGCTCAGCAAGTTTGTGGCCTGTTCTCCCATCTAGTGTTGGACTTCTTCAGCTAAGGGTGGACCTTCTTTCTAGGTAGTCCCCTGCTCCCCATGCTCCAATGAGCTCTTTCTTTTCTGCTCTTTCAGATCCAGTGATGGAAACTGGTGGGCAGAGAAAGACTTCAGGCTGTAGGCTGTTTTCCCTTGTGGCTGAAGGCATGCTGTATTTATTACCTCTTTTCCTGAGAAAACACAATTCCTCAGGGTGATTGCACTCTGACACTGCCCACAGTTATAAAAATGGCTGACAGATGCTCCTTCAGCTTTTGGGCAGTATTCAGGCCATTTTGGCAGTGAGATACAATGGAGCAAGGAGCCATACAGGTTGAGAAGAGCTGTCTGGGGGAGATGGCAGTGTCTGGGAAAAGGGTGTTTCCCTAGGCATTACCTCAGAGACATTTGTCTTTTATTTCAGATTTAATCAGGGTACCACTGGCAGCACAGATGCAGACTAAGTCTCAGCATGGTAAATTCAAAAAACTCCAAGTTTAAATGCACAGGCATTTGCTGGTTTACCTCCAGACCAGAAAGAACAGTGCCTGTTATTTCTTCCTGACACAGGAGACATGATCTGCAAACAGCCTTTACATAGCCAGAGCATGCATCAAGTGCACTCTGGACATTGGTTCTGTGGCTCTCAGCTTGGGGCTGTCAGCACAGTGATGTTTCTGAAAGTGGGGCACGACGTTGCACTCATCTACAGCTGCCCTGCTCTCAAACGCACACAGACATCTGCAGGAGAAGGGAGGTACCCCTCTGGTGGAGGCATCAGCCGGATGGCAGTGTGCCTTTGACCGAGAGGAAAGGAATGCAGCATCTCCTGGTGACTGAGAAAGCTTGGGTGGTTTTGCACATAGGAAGCTCTTTTAAATGTGTTTCCTCCAACTGCCTGGCCTTTTGTTTTTCAGCCATGCTTGATGCTGGTGTTGGAAAGCTGAACTCCCCAAAAGTGAACTTCCTCTTCTACTATAAACTGACCCTTGGGGTTGCTATAGTGACTGCAGAGCAGCCAGCGGGCTGTGTAAACACTCCCTCCCGCTTCCCATCACATTGGGCCTGAGAGACTGAGCCACGGGATGTGCACAGCAACCTGGATTATGCGGGTGGTTGTGAAATGCAAACCCGACAATTTCTCTGCTTCCTCCCTGTTTCCCCCACAGGGAGGCAAACCCAGCAGGCTGGTAGCAGGCACAAACACGCCCGTCCTGACGAATTTGGGCACATGGCATGGTACCGCAGAAACCAAATCCAGACATTCACCTGGGGAGCTTGAGCAAGATGTGGAAATATATGGTGCAACTGGATTCTCTGCAACATCTGATTCCTGTGGCCTCACTAACTGTTGAGCTTCCAGCTGTGCGGGGGGAGCAGTTTGGTACATACAGTGTCACAGTTCCTTCTATGTAATTAATTGCAACAATCAACCGAGTGTGAAATCCATCAGTCTCTGGATCCTCTGTTGCTCACTTTGATGGCAGCTCTTCTTCTTTCATTTTCTTCTTTTTTTTTAAATGCATTTCATTAAAGTCTGTTCCTGACTCTCTGAGTCACTTTCCAGACGTTGATGTTTGTGTGTGACTGTATCCATCCCCATAAAACCAGGTCAGGTGTTGCAGCAGCAGCAGCCCGTGAGACAAATTGAAGCACGTGGAGAGGTGTTTCCCCAGGCAGAGCAGGGTATGCATCCCCTCCAGCCACTGCAGATGTTCTTCCAAACTGGCAGGTGCTGCTTAGCCAGGGATTTTGTGAGAGGTGAGCTAAACCACCCTGCCAGGAGGAGATAATCAGCTCTGCTCCCACTGCACTGGGATGGAACTTGATGGGTTATCTTCAAGAAATAAGGTTGCTGTCCCACCACAACAGGCCTGTGACTGCTCCAAAAATCACAAAGCGCATAATCTCAAAGGTGTGTAAAATAAAGCATCTGCTTCATGCCATCAGGAGGGCCCATTCAAAAGTGCCAGGCATCCTGCAAAACACCTACCTACGCTGACTGCCAATACACACTTTTGTTTTACTATTAAGAGACTTCCTGGCACAAGGATGGATGGACTTATGTGATCCCATTTTTATGTGTTAAGGGTGTCACTGACCAAGCTGATCGATAGGTACCTTTGATCAGACACCTGGCTATACAGTTGCAAGCTGTCCCGGGATTCTGTGAATTCCCATCCTTTCTGCCACATTTGGAAGCGCACACAACCTCTGCTAAGCAAGGTACTGGTGGAGGCAGAAGAGAAGGAGGTTTCTGGAAGAGTGCTTGTCTGTAATCCTAAACATGTCCCTATAATCCCAGCCTGTGACTCAGAGCCGGGGGGATGCAGAGGGTCAGTGTGGCCTGCTTATCCACTGCAGTGAGTCATTATGCCCCAAAGAGAAAAGGAGCCTTAAAGCCTCACTCTGATTGCTGTGAATGATGGCAGTGGGACAAGTTCCACAAAGTATGCTGAATCAAAGGCAATTCTGACACAACTCGTTACAATACGAAATAGGGACTGACCCTGTAGTGTCTCACTAAACAGATGGCAGGTGCTGAGTCTGATTAAACAGGGTTTTCCGAATCACTTGCAGAGACAAATGAGAGGCAGGCAGAGGCATAAAGCAACACACAGTGCCTTCTAGATCTCAATGGGTTTGCATTTCTCTGTTCACTCTGTGTCTGCCTTGTTATGGAATTTAAAAATAAATCAGCTGAATTAGTTCGTGTAAGTACATGGCCTTTCCTGCTCCTGTCAAAGGAGTGCCCCAGCGTCGAGCAGTGCTGCCAGCTTGCCTGAGCTCGATGCAGAAAACATGGTGAACCGGTAATGTGACAATGACAGTGATGCTCACTTTTCCCCTGAAAATAACGTCTCAGAAATTAAGAGCCTGCAAATCCCTTATTCAAGTAGGGGCTTAGAAAGTGCAAAGTGGGGCACACGCATTTGTGAAGTAGCTGGGCGGAAGGGAATTGGGAAGAAGGAGGACAGGCAAAGCAGATCTGCTTTGGCAACCTTGGGAGCTCAAAGATGGTTGGGCAGGTGAGTTTATTGGTTTTCCTGAGAAGAAATCTTAAGCCAGCTTGGTTCTGATGAGGGCTGGTACAGACTCAAATGATGTGGCATCTGAATTATGTCCATAGAAGCAGTTAACAACCTGGATGCTTTACAAGTTATCAAAACCTCTGCAAACCTCAAGAAACTGGAGGTCTTTTGTGCAATTTTTGATGATTCTCCTTGGAAGGCCAAATTTGTGGGCCCCACAGACAATAGCATCACTTACTTATCTGAGCCCAGCTACCCAGTGCCAGGGCTGCATCTCAACTGAATGCCTGGCATGACAGGAAGCACGAGAAGGCACCACCTGAAGTCACCTCCGGTCTTGATGTTAGTGCGGCACTAAGGAAGCCTGAAGGAAGACACTGCAAGGGACCTTTCCAATCTTTCCTGCATCTGGCTCAGATTCAGCTGCAAATGGTCCAGAGATGCCCTTTCCAGATGTGGACTGACACCGTGGCTGTCCAGGGAAGCTGAAAATTGCTGGAGGAGGGAAGGGGAAAGGATTATTAACACAGCTCAGCTTAAAAATGAGGGGAGGTTTGTGAGGCTTCTCCTAGGTCTCCCTGCTGTTGGGAGTGTGTTTCTCAGAGGCGCCCCTGGCTCTGGACTGTGAGTGGCCGGTCGGTGCTGCAGTCTGCTGCTGTTGCCTCCTAAAGCTGCAGCAGCATTGTTGAGGTGCAGACGTGCAGAACAGCTCACGCCAAGGCTGAGCACTCACAGGTGATCTTTTCCTCTGTACATTTTCCAGCGGAGCTGGCAGCTGCTCCTGCAGTGTGCATGCTTCATTGGCTATCCAAAGAAGGAACTGGGCGGGCGTTGATCCAATTGAGGCGGTTTCAAGGAGCGAAGGCAGGAAGGAAAATTACCAACTTTGACATATGTTGCTCCCTGCAGGTCTCTCTTATTATAGCCTGGCAGGATGTCAAGGTGCACAGACACGACCCAGAGCTGTAACACACGATGGCTGCTTTGCCTCCTGTCCCACCCCTTTCACACAGGCAGCAGTAGCAAAACCATTTCTGGCATACCAGGAAATCCTGGTTCTCTCTATTATCAAGGAGGGAGTGAGCAGTTATACAACTTTGAGCTGCCATCAGCAGGACCCGTGGGAGGGAGGGGGGGAATAGTTCACTTGGAAAGGAATGCTGCAGTGTAGGGCAGTGGTTTTGACATGCTGGAGTGAAACTTGGCATAAAGGAACAGAGGGAATTCGTTTGCCAGGTAGACGTGGCACTTGAGCAAGAGATTAAGTGAAATGGCAGTGGAAACTTTGAGAGATCTTAAGAGGTGGCTAGTTAGCACAGGGCATGTATCTGCAGCCCTTAGTGCAGGTTTCACAGTGCTGGGTGTCCACAGCTTTCTAACAACTATTATTTACCCGACTCTCTAGCTCTTTTATCTTGCCAGCACACATGAGAAGCCAGCTGTGTGCATAGTCCTACCTGGGGTAGGGCCTTCAACTTGACAAGAAGAAATGAAGACCCAGGGTTCAGTGGCCTGAAGTGTTTGTCAGCCATTTGTGATGGCAGAAATCTACTTACTTTTCCGAGAATATTTAACCACTCTAGTGTGCCAAGAAGAATGTAGTGTGTCATAGCAGCCATCCAGAACAATGGCAAATATTTGTTCCTGGTAAAAATTTGCTTGCCACATGTCTTCATTTATAGCATATCTCCTGTCTTGGGACAGATGGGAGGGAGGTCTGAGGTGTCCCTCTGAAATGTCACTCTGAAAAGGCTGAGTCTTAAAGAGAGCACTTATGTGGAAAGGCTGGGAGAAATACAGAGGTGTATCAAGAAGCAATAGGTGTGCATTGGATTTACACCTTTCATTGTCCCTCCTGAAAGTCCCTGCCAGGGGCTTGACATCTAAACAAACAAGTTAAACCTTCCTCTTTGCAGATTCTTTCTGCTGGGGCAAGTTCCCCATTGCCTGCTTTCACGCTGTGCTTTCTTTCAGACGTTGCTTTTGTAGTCTGTCAGCACAACCTTGAGAGAAAGGACTTTGGCTGAGAGCTGAACACACAGTACCAGCTGTACTGATTTCCATCGCCTGGTATGTAGCAGTGGACTTTCACACTGTGCCTTCTTTGCCTCCCCCAGTTAGGCTGAAATATCTAACCACAGTTTCTGCTTTTCTTCGTGGTGGAATTGACTTGGCCATGAGAATCAGTGGATTTAGGCTCCTGCAGCCCTGCTGTCAGCACAGGAGCCTCTTGGCAGGGTGCAGGCAGCCATGTGGGATGAGGGGCTGAAGGCATCGGAGGAATGTTGATGTTCCAACAAACTTTGGGATGAACTAGGGAAGGTGGAATGCATGATTGGATCAGAGAAGAGGAGGAAGTGAGTGGAAAAGGGAAATATAGTGTGACAGATGGGAAGGAGAGCAGAAGGGCAGTGTGAAATCACACAGGGGATGGGCAGCATTTGAAGAATAAGGACAATAAAAGTTGGGGGAGTGTTATAAGTGCCTAACTCTCTGGGGAGCTTGTAAGAAATTGGACATCCCTCCCCCACCGATTTGGACTGTATTTTGAAAAGAAAAGAAACAGAACCGTTATTTTAGTGACTTTTTCTTTTTTTGTGTGTGTGAAATACTCAAGTTGTTGCACCATGATTTTTTTCCTTTACATTCCTCTGGTTATAGCAGTGAAGTAGATTAAAACCAAAATATTTTGCATTTTGTCATATGTTTTGCTGCCCTGTCCTTTTCTCCTTTCTGTGACTTTGGCAAGGAGAGGTGCAAAGCCGAGACTTCTCCTCTTCCTTGGCAGGGGTTTTACCCTGACCCATGTAAGGCAATGTTGCTACCTGGCTCTTTAACCTTAGACAAAGGTTCACATGAAACAGAGGCCTTTTGTGTGGATAGAGGGAAATAGGATGAAGAAATCAGGTAATGCCAGAATGGCAGCATGCCTGGAACAAAGATTTGGAAGAGTAACGTGGGAAGGGGATGCTACAGCCTCTTCCTCCTCAAATATTCTCCAGGTGCTGGGACATGATCTAGAAAGTCTTCCCTGTCTTAGTTTCACTCAGATGTAAGGTCTCTTCATCCCATCATGTGGCCTGCAGATACTGGTCACCAACAACTCCTTTCACC